GAAGCAGGCAGCCACGTCTTTCTTCCACAGAGCTTCTGACCTGACAGCCTTGAGGTTTAAGCAGTCCAGCGCTTACCCAATGGTACCACCTGGGCGGTTTCCTGAAGCATCACTCACCCGAACCAAACTGACAGCCATGGAGTAGATTGACTCACAGTGACTCTCTAGGACAGGATGGAACCACCCCTGCAGGTTTCAGAGACTGTAACTCTGCAGGGGTAAAAGCTTCATCTCTCTCCCAAGGACTACCTGGTATTTTCTACGAACTGATCTTAAGGTTAGTGTTTGGGCCACGTCTGGACCGGGCAGCCCCTACCTTCTCTCCAGCTCCTCAGGAAGATGAAACCTCACAGGCCCCGTTCCCAGCCTCTCAGGAGGATGGATGACCTATTGAACTATGCAACTCCTGCCCCAACACTCCAAAGAGCTTGTCTCTCCAGGCCGGGTTTGTGTGGCCCCTTCCCCAGCACCCCAGGAAGCAATTTATCTCTCAGAGAGCAGGTTTGCAAACAAGAAGATGACTTCCCACAGGGTCGCATCCTGACTCAAGGCCTTGCAGCTGCAAGCAATAAAAAATCGCCCTTCCTGCTGTCAACGTCTACTTTCTTAGCCCTAGATATCTCCCACCGCCTCACCGACAAGCTGCGACTTCCCTGACCCAACTCGTTGGGTCTCAGAACCCGCCCTGGAGCTCAAGATGCTCCTGTCCCTTTCTCTGCTCTCCCTTCCCTCCCGGGAGCTCTTTCCCTGCCTCAATAAAATCTTTCTCAACTTCACATTCCTGGCTAAATTCTGTCTCTGTTCCACGTCTCCGCCTCCAGCTTCTCAGTGAACAGTCCAATCTGCACCCACTATACCACTGGGACCCCAAAAGACAAAACTGAACCCAACTCACTGCCATTGAGTCAATGCTGGCTCAGAGCGAACCTGGGTGGGTTTCAGAGACTGGAACCGTTTCCAGGAGTAGTAAGCCCAGTCTTTCTCCCAAAAAGCGGCTGGTGGTTTTGAACTGCCAGCCATGCAGATCACAGCACAAGACTTAACCACTACACCACCAGGGCTCAATGCTTAAAAAAAAAACAACCCTGGGGTGCAGTTCTACTCTGAAACACATGAGGTCTCCAGTATTGAGAATCGCTTCCATGCTGGGTGCTCGGGTTTATGCGGGGAGCACCTTACTTGCAGAGCCCACAGAAGACACGGGGCTTGGTATACAGGAGGTGCTTAATGTGTGACTATCACGAGACTCCCACCCCTTGACTCCTACCCCAATTAGCACACCCAGGAAAAGCCAGTCAGGCATATCAGCCGAGTTTGTCATCTAAGGATTAGAACGGAAGTAGGTCGGAACTCTCCGAAAACTCCATTTTAAAAAGCAATTGGCCCAATGGCTGAGTCACTCCACAAATGCTTCCTGAGCCTTGTCCTGGGTGGAGCCCTGGAGGTGAATCAGACCAGGCCTTACCCTCAAGGAGCTGCTAGTCAGGTCTGGGAGACCATGGGGCTGATTTGCATTCCTGTCATTCAGGTCTGAGGGTCAAGGTCACTTCCTCAAAGAGGACTTTCTGGATTGCTCTGGCCACCACACCGCACCCCTGCCCCTCTGTCACCAGTTCTTGGGGTTGGTGTTAGAAGGTTGTTACTGAGTCCCAGAGACCCCTGTCCACCCACACCAGGTGACACCACCCAGCCTGACAACCACTGCCATGTGGGAGCCCATCGTTGAGGCCACCAGGCCATCCATCATTGAGTGGAAGACGCTCAGCGCCCCCTATGCACCGGCTCCGACGCTCAGCGCCCCCTATGCATGACAGAAGGAAGCACAGCCCAGTCCTGGGCCTTCCTACCTCGCATGTCGTTCTTCTCCAGCACATGTTATGTCTGAAACCATCTTGTTGGTTTGTGGGCTTTATTTGAGGGATCTATCTCCCCTCCCCCCACTCCATCCTATCCCCCCCCAACCCCGAAGCCAGAGTGCTCCTTAGGAGCGAAGACGTTGACATTCTCTCTTCAGTTGTGTATGGCGTTGCTGTGAGTATGAACGGATTAGATGGCACTCAACAATGACATGTCCCCGCAAGTCCTGAGGTCATGTGGTTTCCAAAGCACCCGGTACAGTGGGTGCCTGGGACCCAGAAGCCACCCAAGACACTCTTTTTCTTTTCTTTCTTCCCTTTGTGAAACTGGAAATCGTTTCAGGGACCTGTCACTCAGACGTCACTTCCCTAGAGCGGTCAGGTGAAAAATAGTTCACAGTCGTCACTACAATCAGTTCTAGCATGCTCTTCCTTCTCAGATTTGTATATTAGCTCCCCGTCTACCTCCAACAGCCCCATCCCTATTCCCAGTAAGCCATCCACCCAGTCACTATCTCTATAGATCGACCCATCCTGGAGTTCGTATGCTTGAAAAGATTTTTTGTTTTTTTAATTTAAGAAGAAGCAAACAAAGAGGGCAGCAAGAATCATAAACCAAACCAAAGAATAAGCTCCATCAAGGGGGGGAGGGCCAGGGGGAGGCCCCAATAAAATGATTTTTTTAAATAAATATGTATATATTTAAAAGCAGGAGATCTTAACAACTAGAACAAATTGGAAATGGGTCAAAAGAAAGATCACATGATCAAGTATTACATGTTCACCCATTTTCATCTTCCTTATTAATTGAGTTGACCCTACTGTCTGTCTGGTGGTAGAGAGTCCTCACATCCCTCGACTGTAGTCAGAGGGGATTCACCAGAGGCTTAATCCACGCAGGGCACCTGCAAATGGATTTGGGGCTCCCCTTGTCATCGTGGCCTTCTGCAAATCGAGTGTCCCATGCAGTCCTGAGGGACTGGACAGCCCAACGTGAGTGACACGCATTTCCATAGAAGAAGGTGCGGGGGCCCACCACGGAGGGGCCGAGGGCTCTGCCTGAAGAAGTCAGAGCAGGTGGTCCAGGGGCAGGGCCATTTACGTCGGGGTTCTGAGGGACAAGTAGGTGTTCACCAGGTAGGAAAAGGAAATGCTTACTTGCTCTAAGACCGCGGGCCAACTGCTTCAATGCTCTGCCTACCTCAGTTCGCGCGCCTGTGGAATAGAAATGACACTCCCAGCAGTGGAATCGCTTGACTGGACTTAATGGTGAGGACTTAATTCAGGGCCAGGAATGTGCAGCCAAGTCCCAGGCACTGAGGTAAGCATTAAAGGAGGCTATTGAGATGTGTGTGAGAGCAGCTGGCATGGCACTTAGCACACAGTGGGTATTCACTGGCCCAGAGGAATTCCTTTCTGGAAGAGCACCATTCTCCATGTTTACGGATACACTCTCTCTCACTGAGTGTGTGCCATGCTATAGGACAGGGTAGAATTGCTCCCCCCCACCCTCGAATTTCCAAGAAGCAGCTGGTGGTTTCGAACCACTGACCCTGCAGTTCACAGCCCAACATGTAACCATGACACCACCGGGGCTCCCGCTAGGCTCTACGAGAGACGGATACACCTGCTTTCTGAGCTCTCACAAGATGCCACCGAGCCCTGGTGGCATCGTGGGTCACATGTGAGGCTGTTAGCTGCAAAGCCACCGGCCACCCTGCAGGAGAAGGAGGAGCCTGTCTGATCCCCCGTGGAAGATGTCCAACCTCCGGCATGCACAAGGGCAGTTCTACCCTGCCCCGCCGAGACCCACTGTGAGTGGGAAGGGAGCTGAAGGCTCATTTTGAGTGTGGGCTTTCTGTTGTCCTCGTGTACGCCAGATAAGGAGCCAACCTAGAAGCAAACTCCCTGCCCTCACGTCGAGTCCAACTCCCGTCCACCCTGCAGGACAGAGGTGGCAACTCTCAACAAATGGCAACTCTCTACAGGGCTAGAGAGCCTCCTCTTTCTCCTTGCGAGTGGCAGGTGGGCTCCAATGGCTGACCTTGCTGGTTCAGCAGCCCAGCATGTAACCCACTGCCCTACAGGGCTCCTTTGAGAAGCAGTAGCCAGGGAGGAATGAGATGGCAAGGCAACAGATTATAGAACCCTTTCATGTGCTGGCTACGCTTAAATGCTTCTTCTTCTCCTTCTCCTCCACCTCCTCCTCTACCTCCTCCTCCTTCTTCTCCTCCTCCTCCTCCTTCTGCTCGTTAGAAGAAATCAGAAAAAGCATCATGTAGGAAGCTGCAATGATTCGAGTTCTCACAAACTGCTGTGCTGCTAAAAGGATGCCCGCTAGTTTACTCTCAGATGCAATCCAGTTTTGCTCCCCCTCAGCTCCACTAAGAGTGGTTATGGATCAGGGGCCATTGCTCCAGGGTACAAACTGGAAACTTGTAGGTCACGCACATACGCATGCACGCACGCACACGGGCAATTATTACCACTCAACAGATGGAGCAAATGAGAGACCTTAGTGACTTGCTCAAGACCTGCACACCCAATAATTGTCCATATTGAGTTTGGACCCGGTCCTGCGTTCTTAGGATGGGGCAAACATTTTCCACTTGGCCACGAACCCCAAAGTTGGTGTTTCAGACCCACCCCACCCCTCCCCACGATGGCACTGTGGAAGAAAAGGGCTGAAATAACCCAAAGAGGCTCAGTTGTACTCTGTAACACGTGGTGTTATCATGAGTCAGTCTCCACCTGGTGGTGACAGGCTTGGTATTTGGGTCTGGGCCCCATTCTAGAACCTTTGCGAGGTTGAGGGGCCACACAGGGAGAGCCCAGGTCCAGCTTGATCATCTGGACTGTGGTAGAGGAACGTGGAAGGGGCAGTGAGTGGAGAAATCAGAGGAGGCTTCCTGGAGGAGGGGACTTTTTAGATTGGGTTTTGAAGGGTGAGTAGGAGTTCCTCAGGAAAAGAAGGCTACGAAGAGAGACATTCACTCATTCAATTAACATCTCCTGAGGCCTCCTGTGAGCCCAGCACTGAACTGGGTGATTCAGGGACACAGAGATGAGTCAGACCTGGGCTAGGCATGCCACCTGGTGAGAAGGAGAGATGGAAGTGTGGGGGATTGGGTCATGGGAAGGACGATGGAACAGATGGGGTGAGGGGGGCAAACTGGACGGCAAATCTGAGGGTACTTGAGAGAGGGGTAAGAAGTGAAGATGGATCCCTAAGTCCTTGGGGAGGGTGGGGATGAGAAGAAAGGACCTTTCCTTTCTTCCTCAGGTCGGGAATAGGTCCATCTCACTGGGACCAGATTTCTCAAGCCTTTGGCTCTCCATAGACACACAAGCCAAAACCAGTTGCCCAGGAGTGGGGTTTGCCTCAAGGACTCGAACTCCATGCCCCCACCCCCACCCCACCCCACGACTACCACCCCCACTCCATGTGTGTTGCAGAATAGGACTGTGTCCACAGGATCTTCATGGCTGTGATGGGTTTCACAAGCGGTTAGCCAGGCCTTTCCTCCGAGGTGCCTCTGGGTGGGACCCGTCAGTGGTTCAGTTCATAGCTGAGAATTTGTGTCACTCAGGAGAGCAGATTGCCAGGTGGTGGGGGGTGCAGTGGGGGGTGGCAGGGAGCTTTGGAGGAATGAGGACCCCGGTGCAGATTTCACTGTGTTCTGTATCTGACTCTGTGTCTCCCTGAAGGAGCCCTGGTGGTGGTAGTGGTTACATGTTGGGCTGCGAACCTCCAGGTCAGCAGATCGAAACCACCAGCCGCTCCTGGAGAGAAAGACGAGGCTTTCCGCTCCTGTACAGAGCTACAGTCTGGGAAACCCACAGGGGCAGACCTCTGTCCTCCCGAGGTCGCTGTGAGTGGGAACGGCCGTGAGTTCAGTTTGGGGTTTGTTCTCTCTCTCTGTCTGTCTCTTTTGTCTTCCTTCTCTCTTTCTCCACTCCATCCTCTCTGACGTCTCCATCCGGCCGGCCTGCATTCTAGGCCACCCCCTCCCAAACCTTCCCGGTGACTGGGACCAGGCTGGGCTCATCCCAGTTTCATTCCAGACAAACTTGATTCCTTCCTCAGGGCCCCGCCTTACAGCTCTTCTTCCTCCTCCCTCTCCGGACCTCAAAGGATCCCACAGCCTGAAGGTCTCTGCCGAAGGGGCTCACCCCTCAAGGGACCCTGGAGAAGGATGCCAAGGCGGGGTGGCGTCACACCCCAGAGGCCCCACCCTCTCCAGAGCCCTTCCCCTCCCGCAGGGAGCTGCTGGAGGTGGGGTGGGGGCCCTGCCTTTCCCCCCACCCCTCAAGTCTCTGAGGGCTGCCTCCTGGCCCCAGGGCTCTGCCCTCCCCCGGCGACATTTCCCAATGCTGGTGAATCACCGGAGGCGGCTCAGGGAGAAGGAAGGTGCTCAGCGATGGGGTGGCTTACCATAAAGAAGGGGCCAGCGTCCCGAGCACCCCGGGGACCCAGCGCCCAAAGATCATGAAGCTGGTGTTGGCATGCTCTCTGCTCTCGCTCCTGGCAGGTGAGGCTCTTGCCCTCCCCCTCGCCCTCCCCGTCCATCCCCGGTGCTCCCGACTGCCCTCCAGGCTCACCCGCCTTCCCCTGGTGCCTCCAAAGCTCACCCACCTGGCCCTTCCTGTCCATTACCCCTTGGGTCCCAGGTTCTCCCCAAATTCTTCCACCTTACCTTGGGTAACCCCTAGGTTCACACTTCCAGCTCCAACTGCATCCATCTTGCTCTTCCAGCCCGTTACCCCCAAACTCACCCATCTTGCCCTTGTGCCTCCAGGTACTCCCCAAACTCTCCCACCTTCTCCTTCTGTGCCCTAGGTAAACCCCAACTACATCCATCTTGCTCTTCCAGCCCGTTACCCCCAAACTCATCCATCCCGCGCCCTGAGTGACCCCTGGGCTCACCTTTC